CTAAGTGGCGTTGATATTTTAGTTGTAAACCACGAATTCGTTAAATAATTTTTTTTTTTTTTTGTGGCCTTTTACGGTCGTTTAATGACCGAATATCTTTTTTTTACGAACCTGTTATAAAAATATTTGAATCTCAATCAGAATCCGACGTCGATCCAATCTTTTAAAAAAGTTTTTATCTAGTTTTTTCCCTCTCCCTCTCTCTTTTATATACATCACAACCCGAAATCTCTAGGGGCAATAGGAAATAGAGAGAGATAGAAAAGAGATTGATGTCATCTTGCTAAATGGAAAGTAATTAAATCATAAACCCGAAAAAAAAAAAACTCAGTTTATATATATTGAACTTAATTATATTTTTTTTCTTTTACCCACGTGATAGTTTTATATATAATAATATATAATATATATATATATATATATATATATATATATATATATATTATTATTATTATTATTATTATTATTATTATTATTATTATTATTATTATTATTTAAAAGAAAACATCCCGAAAGCAATAAAAAAAAAATTTTTTTTTGTACTCGTGATAGGTCGATAGAATTTCAATTAATAATTTTTTTTTTTGCGTCAAAAACCCACCTGTGACTAAATTAAATGTTTGTCTCTCTCTCTCTCTCACCTGCAAACCTACCCGGGGAAAAACAAAAAAAACCTGTCATTTGAAACCTTGAATCTGTAATAGGTATCATTTAAAAAAAAAAAAAAGTGGAGGAGTAGGAGGAGAGAAAGAAAAACCGGAATGTGACAAAAAAGGCCTCACAAATAATAATAATAATGTAGTAGTAAAAATCAAGTTTTTTTTTTTTTTTTTTTTTTTTTCTTAAAATTATACGTTGAAAGTCGCTGAAACATTGAAAGGAAGTAAAAATTATTCCAGAGGCTAATTTAGAGGAGTTAATTAAATAAGAAGAAAAAGTTTTTATTTTGATACTCTTTCCCCCCGTACCCCCGTACCCCTACCCTCCTTGTTGATGAGTTTTCCATAAGAAATAAAAAAAAAATTTACTAGTTTTTTTATTACGTAATCAAATATATATGAATTTATTATTGTAAAAATTTTCCATTTGTTTTTGTGATTTTCAACGGTTTTTTTTTTTAAATTATAATTATAAAAATATATAAATTTTATATAGAAAAAATATTTTATTAAATATATATATATATTTAAAAGTTTTTGTCTGGAAAAAGAAGGAAAAAACGTGAAATAATAACAAAAGCGAAGGGGCGGATCGTATTCGAAAGGACCGATTTTATAGAATGTGACCAGACGCCCCTCTCATCATATGCGCGTCTGTAAAACGCTTCCAATCTCGAACTCGAGCAGTTTTAAATCGAGTCTCGAAGGGAGTCGATCTCTCGACAATGTTTACACGACCAGTTTAAATAAAACAATATACATATATAATATCGCGTTTATTTAAAAGAAAAACGATTTTAACCTGAATTTAAAAAACAAAAAAAAATTTTCCGGAACATCCCGCGTTTTTTTTTTTTCTGTCGTCAATGGATTCTGTCAAGATCAACAGAAGAAATATTAATAAATTTTCCCGGGATGTAAAAGGTAATTTTTTTCTTTTCTTTTTTTTTCAAAACTTTTTATCGAGATATTTTTGCCGCAAAACAATGCGCTCGCTCTAACGGGAAAAAAATAAACTATCGTATATCAAAATGGCCGTTCTAACTTTTACGCATTTTATAATTTCATTTTCCGTCGGGAAAATTTAAACTAATAATTTTTTTTTTTTTTTTATTGATTTATTACTTATAAATTATTACTTTATCTGAATCGGTAATTTTTTTAATAATATTTTTTTAATAAATTAAAGTATTTATAGATGTTTATTTATTTTCTTTAAATAAATTTTTTTGAAAATAGTTCAAATATAAAAATTTTTTTTTTTTAAAGTAAAGTTTAATTAATTTAAACTTTATATTTATTTAAAATAAGTCACTAAGCCACTAATGATAAAGTTTAATTAAAGAAAAAGTTTTAAAAGTTCAAAATATTAATTGATTTTGATAAAACTAAAATATTATTATGGCCTTAAAACATAAAACATTTCACTTTTCCTTTGGTTGTTGTTGTTATAATTTTTTTTTATTTAAATAAATTAATATTAATAATAATAATAAGACATTATGTATTATTGAATAATAAATATGATATACAACTATATATACATACTTAAATTTATGTTTGATTAAAATCATGCTTAAAAATGAAATGATTATATCTGTTTAATTTAAACTTATAAATAAAACAATCAAAAAAAATATGGCGGTTGAAAATTATTTTTAAAAATAAATTAAAATCATTTGAATGATATAAATTAAACTAGACAGGGTTAAAAAAAAAAGAAATTCGGAATGGATTTTATATTAATAAATTTAAAATAAATAAAAATTGCGCATTAATAAAATCCTTATTTTCCACCTTCTTATATTATTATTATTATCATGTGAAGGCGTCAATGAAACCCTGAGGAAACAATGGTCATTGTGATACACGCAGAATCCCAAAGGAAAGAATGTCTCGTTTTGAATTATAGAGATTTTTACATGACCTTGAAAATGATAACAATCTCGATTGCTCTTAACATTAGGGCCTTTGGCTTTATTTAAATTTTTATATTTTCGTCCACAAGACCTTCGAACCCCCTCCCCCTCCCGTTTTATAATTTTCTGGAATTTCATTTTTGGAAAATTTAATAAATTTTCTTTTAATCTATTCGTCACTTTTAAATTTTCCTTCCTTCCTTCCTTCCTTTCATCTTTTGTTGTTATTTTTTTAACGCAGGACTTTGTCAATAAAAACGATGACGACGATAATAATAATAATAATAATAATATTTAAAAGGTGTAATTTACCACAAAATAATTTTATAAAAAACATTGTTAATTATAATTGAAATATTCCTGGTACGACATATTACGAATATAATCGACAAAAAGGGGGGGAAATTGAGGAGGAGGGGGGGGATTCGACAATAAAAATTAAAAAGACCTATTTTATAAAAAAATAAAAATGGTTCCTTTAATTAATAGTTTAAATGTGTTAAATTGTTATTAAAAATTTCTTTGTTTAATTACCTTGTTGTTGTTTACAAACCTGTGTGGAAACGTGTTTCTCTCTCTCTCTCTCCCACAAGTTAAATATTAATAAAAACATTTAAAATCTCCCCTTTTTACATTTTTTTTTTTTTTTTTATTAATACATCGCCATTATTATTATTATTATTATTACATAAAATTGATACTGATTATAAGACAACAACAATAAAATTATCAATTGCAAAATGATAGGAAAAAAAAAAAAAAAAAATGTAAAAGACAAAAACACAATCATTGGTAAAACCTAATTTGAAAACATGACTTGGACGTTTTTTTTATATTCACTGCCCCCCCGTTGTTTTTAACGTGACTCGAAACCCATATGGTGCTCTTTTATATCGGATTTAAAAGTGTCGTTTTTTTTTTTTGGGGGCTAAATGATGATGATGATGATAACGTATACGCATATATATATATACCTGAGTTTTTTTTTTTTTTGATTAAATCAGCAGGCGTAGATGCGAACAAAATTAAAATAATAATTTTCCATTTTCATTCGGTTTGTCGTCCACCTCAGAAAGAAAAAAAAATTCAGGTTTTTTTTAAGGTTCCGCCGAAGATATATAGAACCAACCCGAATTGGACAGTGATTTATGCCTTGTAATTACCGATTCACGTAATTACCATCTTAGATTTTGGGTTAATAACCAGAGTTTTCCCCTCCTCTCCCTTCCTCTCAACCTCTCCTTCCCCCCACCCAGCGGAGTTTGTCATTTTCACGAGGGAGTCATTTCAATCGCGCGTAAATCGTCGCGTTATAATTAATTATAAAACAAAAAGAAATTGTTTATAACAAAAGAAAATTTTTAAACATTAATAAATAAATCGATAGTTTAATTAGTATAATATTTATTTATTTATTTAAAACGTTTTTGATGAAATCGCATGATTCATAAGATTTTAAATATGTTATTGTTTTATATCAAACCGTTAATTACCTTTCACTTAAATAAACTAATTTTTAAATTAACCGTTTTGTTAAAAAAAAAACTTTTATGTTTGACACGCAACATACAAATTATATTAATGTTGTGCACGCTTAAAACAATATTTGTCACTTGTTTGTTTTTATTAAAAACATTTCAAACGTAAAATTTCTCCCCTCTCTCTCTCGCAACACGCGCACTCACACACATTTTTTCCCGGGAAAAAAAAAATTTTAAATTTAAAAAAAAAAAAAAAATTCAATTTATTTTTTTCGGATCGACGCTTTTCACCTTCTTCTTCAATCAAAAACTATTTCAATTTGAACTTTTCCTCTCTCTCTCTTTCTCTCTCTCTCTCGCGAGCGTTTTGCTTGACTTGAGTTTTCTTTTCAAAAAATTTAATTGATCAAAGTTTCCAGTCAAGAAAAAAAATTTAACTCAATCATTGTCGTTTCCAGAAATTCTCCCTGGAAAATAAAAAAAAAAAAAAAGTAAAAAAATCATAAATTAAAAATAAAGGATAAGCTAAACACAAAATTATACAAGTTTAATTTTTTACAACAAAAAAAATTCTATTAAAATAACGGGTAAAACGGCGGCGGCAGCGGTGGTGGCAACAGCATCAACAGCAGCACTTAACAATTTAGGGAATGAATTGAACATTTAAAAAAAAAAGAGAAATAAAGAACCGACCCCGAAGCCCCAGGTCACAATTTTAAAATACATTAACATCCCTCAACCCTTATACATTAAATTATTACGCGCCACTGAGTTAAAAAGACAAAAGAATAAAAAAATTTTCTTTTTTTTTTTTTATTCTCTTGCATTAATATTAATAATAATAATTATTATTATCATTTATATTCATTTATTTACTGAAATTCACAAAATAAATTTGTCGTTATTTTACCTGTTACAAAAAAAAAAAAAAAAAGTTTAAAATGACCCACTGGTTTGAATTAAGAAGGTACTTTGTATGTGGGAGGTCTTACCTTTGTCAAAGGAATAATCCTTTTTTCTTCTCTCTGATAATACGATTTATTCTCCGTGAGATTGATTCGAAACGGAAAACTAATACCATTTCATGTTTTGTCCTTTGGCGTAAATGGCGCTTTCCTTTTCTCCAGGGTGTCCTAGCGCCGGGTTTTTTTTTATTCAACTTGACGTTTCTTCTTCTTCGTTGTTGCGATTCCCCCCTTGCCCTCCCTCCTCCTTTTGTGTATTGATTACCTATTGGGTTTTTATTGTAAATTATTTATCCGGTAATAATTTTTGAATGGTTATTTGTGTGACGTCACATGAATTTTTTTTGTTATTAAGATGTTTATTATAATCCTTTTGTTAATTTTATTTATTTATTTATTTATTTACAGCGTTAGACAAACTTGGTTTTAAACATTTATACGGACAAAATCAAGTGGAGCCGGTTCAACCAAACGTTGCTTTCGATATAGCATCATTAGTTCTATATGGCACTCAAGCTCTTCCTATTCGTCTTAAAATACTTTTAGATCGATTATTTTCGGTATTACAAAGAGAAGAAGTTCTTCAAGTTCTTCACGGTTTCGGATGGACGCAAGAAGATTATGCAAGGGGATACATTTTACAGGTAAGCTCTTTTATAAATAATTATAAGGCCCTGAAATCTAAGAAAAGTTCAAATTCTTTGACCCCCCCGCATGCCTTCATAGATTTTATAACGTTTTTTTAAAAAACTAATTAATATCATATTGAAGAATGCATGTATAAATGATTGCAATTATAAATGGGAAGGCCGTCACATAAACTAATAACGCAACGAGTTATCATAATCATCATCATCATTATTTAAAAACGACGCCATAGTAATAATAATACACGACACGAATAATTTCATAACGAAAATATTGAAAAATTAAATTAAATTTTTTTTTTTTACGTAACGTGAATGACTGACTCAAAATCAAAACGAATCTTTAATACATATGTACATAAAATTGAAGAAGAAGATTATTAATAAAATCAACAGTAAGAAAATGAGAGTTTATACGAAACAAAAGTTGATTGTGGAGAAGAGAGGGGTGGGGGGTTTAACTGGAGAAGAGAATGAATTGTGGAAAATAATCGGGGCGAAACACACACACGGGATAATAATCATCGGGAGGGAATAGTGCACATACACACACACACACATTAATTAAACGAGTTCGAAGACAGATTTAGTAATTTGACGCGGTTCAATGTTAGTTTCCTCCCCTCCCCTCTTGGTTTTGCCCCCGGATCGGAGTCCTCCTCCTCCCCTCTCCCCCTCAAACTCGGCATAATGATATTAAATGCTTCGGGCGGGTATAAGAAGAAACGTATAATTAGCCCCCGGCTTCCATGAGACATTGCCAGACAAACGCGTTCATGTTTTCGTGCCGTTTAATAGCCTATTATCTTTAAATTTCATAATGTTAGAGACATTTTTCTTAAACTTTTCTACCTCTTTTTTTTCTTTTTTAAATTCACTTTTTTTTAAACGGACAAAAAAATTAAATACAGTTTAAAGTTTTCGATTATACGTTAAAAAAAAAAAAAACGTTTAACCATCATGATGATGATGATATGGTTTGTTTGATTATTTTCTCAGAACCGAACACATCATTTGATGTTCTTCCTTTTCCTTCCTTTTTTTTTTTTTTATTAATTTCAGTCATTGAATTAAGAAGTTCCCTCCCCCCCCCCGTAACCTGTCCGCAAACCATTAGGCCAATTATTATTAATTTTCCTACTGCTTTTATGGGGCTTGAAAAACTTGCTTTTAGCCATACGTAAAATTTTTTTTACCCTTAAGCATTCCGACATTCCTGTTACGAAAAAAAATTTTTTTTTACTTCAAGTATATATATTGTCTTTTAACAACAGCAAAAACAGCATTTTTATCGATCGCATTTAGCAAAAAAAAAAAAAATTAAAAATTAAAAAACCAGGTGAAAAAAATTAAAAAAAAAAAAGAAAATTTTCAAAGAAAATTCTTTTAAAAAGAAAAATTATTAAAATGAAAATTTATTAAAAAAAAAAAAAAAAGTTGTTGTAATTTTTAAAAATATTCAAAAAAAAAAAAAGTTATAAAAGTAATATTAAACATTTACCAACAACAGGAGGAGGAGGAGGAGAAGCAACAGCAGAAGAAAAGAAGCAAAAAGTCGCAATTAAAAAAATTTTTTTTTCCCATCATTTTATTTAAAATGGCGCGTGAATGTTATTATTATCATCGTCGTCGTCGTGATTAATTATTATTCGTACCCGGAAATTAATTTCTTTGTAACACAAATTCAGGGCTGAAATTTTTTTTTTTTTTTATTAATAATAATAATTATATATATACGTGAAAAGTGTGGGATTATGAAATTATTTGTAAATAATCTGGTCCTCATCGTGTTCCTGCCCTACCCTGCCCCCACATAATAATAATAATAATAATAATAATTCCAAGAGTCCACACAGGTTTTCACACCCGTCGGACATGTCGCTAAATTTTTGTCAAATGAATACTTTTATAAAACGTATCCAATAAATCTATTTTTTTCCCACGGTTTCTCCTCACGAAATGGAAATTTTTTTTTTTTTTTTTTAAATTAATATTTGCATAATAGTAATTTTTCGTAAGGGTAAATAACGAGGGGGGCGGTGGTAATGGTGGTAGTGGTAGGGGGAAGGAAGGAAAAGAATTCACGACAGCTAAATAAAATTTTTTTCTTTTTTTTACGATGGGAACTATTAGAAAAAATTTTTTTAAATTAAAAACTTTTTCGCTTCTTTTTGATGATTCACAAAAAGAAAACAGGTTTTTCAACTTTAATTGGCTTTAATTGTTGGAACTGCTAAAAATAAAAATTACATGAAAATGAATGAAAAATTTAGGTTTTCAGGTATTAATTTAAACTTTAATTGGATCCCATTTTCTTATATGAGTTTTTTTTTCCCTTCCAATAGTTTAGTTGTAGGTGGAAAGAGGAAACAAGAGAAGGAAATAGAAAAAAAAAAAAAAAAGTTTTAATAAAATAACTGTTACTTTGTCAATGAGTGAGTGAGTGAGTCAGTCAATCAGTCAATCAATCAATCATTCAGACCTTTAAAATTACACTAAAAAAAGCAAAAGAATTCTTACGGTGTGTCCGTGGATGTGGATATGCGCGAGTAGTATCGATTTTAATCAAATAAAATAACAATACCTGATTTTTTTCTCTCTTTATTCTTTCAAATACGGGGGGGGTGGAGAGGGAGGGCGATATGAAAAGAAAAACCTGAAACCTGTTTCTTTATAACATCAAATACAAAAAATAATAATTTAAAATTTTTCAAATTCAATATCCGCTTTTTTTTTTTAATTTTTTTGTCGACAATATGGGGTTTAATTATTATTAAAAAAAACTTATTTATTAAAAATTGAAAATATTATTACGCTTCATTCAATCATAATAATAATAATAATAATAATAAATAATGGCGACGATAACCCCGAATTTAAAAAAAAAAAAAAAACGCGCGGCTTTTAAAAAAAAAAAAAATTTTAAATTATTTTTTAATTAATATTTAAAAGTAATAAAACAAAATTAAATGCTTCGAGTAATTAATTGTCAAAAAATTTTTTAAAAACATTTTGCAACAAAAACACAAACAACAACCACAACAACAACAACCGAAACATTATTATTATTACGTGTTTAACTTATGAAAACTACTTTTAACCAACCAACCAACCGTTGGAAACAAAAAAAAAAAAAAAAAAAAAATTTTTTTTCTCTGACAAACTATAATTTTAAATGTCGTCAAAAAAAAAAAAAACCATCTCATGATTCTCGAATGAGTCACGATCGATCCATCGATCGATCGATCGATCGATTTAATAACAACAAAAAAATCTTTCAATTTTCTCATGTCAATATACATGTGTACGCGCGTGCGTGTGTGTAGTTAGGTTAAATGTCACGATATAAATAGTATACCTAAAAAATTTTTTTTTTGATAAAAAAATGACACTTGTATCCCCCCATTTCCCCCTCATCTCCGCTCCTTTCCCCTCTCTTCCCCTCCCCCCCAGAAAAAAAAGAAAAAAATTATTTTATGAATAAATCACACATCATTATAACTAACCTTTAAACGAGGATATTAAAAAAAAAAACCCAAAATAAAATGATGATACATAATAATAATAATAATAGGGTACGAATGAAAATTTTTAAAAATGGCGTCCGTAGACTTTTAAAAATGTCCTGTTTTTAAATAAGAAAACCGTTTATTAAGGTAAACGTACCTTGAATGTGATTGTGCCAGAAATATTATTAAGGTGTGCCATTCGATTTAAATGGCTACCGGGTCGAAAACAAAATATTATTATTATTATAAATTAAGGTGGGTCATATAAATAATAATAATAATAATTTAAATACAATAAATATTGTATCTATTTAGTTATTTTCATTTGTTTATATTTTTTATTTATTTATAAATAAATAAATAAATTTTTGTTTTCCCGCGAGTGTTTTGTCAACAGTAATAGTCACGTTTTTTTTTTTTTTGGTTAAACAAAGAAAAATAAAGAAAAGAATAATGATGATGATGATGATAATGATGATGATAAAATAGGGTTGTAGAGAAAGAATAAAAATTGATATCAATTCTCAAAACGTTCGTTCAACCCTTTTAAATTGATTGAATTACATGTGCAGAATGAGAAGAAGGTTTTTTCTCCTTTTTTTTCCTTTTTTCATCCCCCTGGCGAATTCATCTTCTCAGGTCATTTTACTTATACATCTTCGAGTTATTTTATAAATAAAAAAAAAAAAAAATACATAATTGATAAATTTTAACATCCCCTTTTTAACAGGGGTGGAGGATAAAAAGACAATTTAAAATAAAAAAAAATTTTTTTAATAAAGAACAATTATTATTATCATTATTATTTTAAAATAATGTTAATATTTAATGAATATGTATTTTTCATACCCTTTACCCGACAATAATGATGATGATGATGATGATCGTTAAATTTACCTTTTTTTTTATATGGAAAAACCTTTTTGTCAATATTGTTTGTAGTTAAGTTAAAACAGACCTTAAAAGCTCAAGAAAAAATTGTTTTTGTCTAATTGAAGTAAAAAAAAAAAAAAGAATTCTATTAGACATCAATCAGTAGTAATAAGGAAAAAAAGGTTGAGGCCAAAAGGGCAGGCAAAAGACATCTTTCACTGAAAAGAAAGAAGGAAAGGAAGATTTTTTTTTCCTTTTTTTCCTTTTTAGAAAGGAAGAATGTCTTGTCTAAATAAATCGATATCCAACCGACTGTTGTTGGGTTGTGTTTGAAGGGTTGACTGAATTCTGTAAAGCATTAATCATGACCCTTAACACTTCACTGACTTTGTTTTATCTTCATTTCGAAAACCGTTGTTTTTTTTTTTTATCTCAAACATTTATTTATTGGTAAAAATAAAATTTACTTTGCTAAAATTTTAGTTTTTAAACATAATTATGTTTTTTTTTTTTTATTTTGATTTGAGTTTTTTTTTTATTTTGATTTGAGTTTTTTTTTTTTTTTGTTTTTTTAAAGGAGCCGCACGGGACCGTTTTGGAAAGATGGAATATATGCAGTCCGGAAGAAGAACCGCTAGTGCTTCAACAGTTCCTTAGATTTGGCGAAACTAGAGCCATTACTCAACAATTGTTACTCGCTCAAGCTGATCAAGCAGCTGCTTTCGCGTCTACCCTCTCAAATGATAGAGAACGCGAAAAAGAACGAGACCGCGAGAGGGAGAGAGAACGAGACAAACATTTGCAATTACATCATCAGCTCAAAGCAGAATCAGACCTCAAAAAAGCAATTGAAAAATCAGGATTGAAACAGCCAAAGCTAGAAGTTATATCGAGCTTAGAAGATAGAAGCAAATCATCACATCGAGAAGAAAGAATTCGGACGAGAACGGTTTCCCCTCCTAGAAGATTATCATCTCCTCATTCTCAACATATATCTCATCATCCTTCTCCCTCGAGCAGACCCTCACCGGCTCCTCCTAGTCCTCTTCAAAAGCAATCTCCTTTAAACCTTCTCAAGTTGCCTCCTCAAAACGGACCGGCATGCACCGTTTCATCTCCTCCCGGAAGTCTTAACTCCAGCCCACTAAGCGTTTCGCCGCTTAACAGGCTTCAGAACATGCAACCGTTTGATTTTCGAAAAGTGGCCGGATCCAGTGCTTTCTCATCGAACGAACCTGGAAGAAGGAGAATTTCAGAAAACTCTGACACTAGTCCATCTGTTAACGTAACGAGCCCGACTTGGCATTTACCTCCTCCATTGCCTCCTCCCTCAACTACGACAAGTAGTAGTTCCACGGTACCTGTAAATTTGAGTCACTCTGCTCTTTCTACGAATTCCTTGTCTACGGCCAATTTAGTGGGCTCATCGTTTACAAACATAATGCCATCCGCCGTTGGTGGATCCGGAAATAAATCTCCTTCGATAAAAACGGAAAAAGGAGGGACTAGCGAATTCGGATCCGAAGAAGACGATGAAGACGAAGAAAATTCTCACAATGCGTTGAACCTCAGTCGTGACGGTACTCATAAACCAACAAAAAAAAGTAATCATCAGAGAAAAGGTGTTTCACCGATGAAGAGAGCTTGGGGAACATCGTCAGCGTTGCCACTCAATTTGGGCACGCAACTCATTAATCCGGCAACGGGTAAAAAAAGAGTTCAGTGTAACGTTTGCTTGAAAACCTTCTGCGATAAAGGAGCTCTTAAAATTCATTTTTCGGCCGTACATTTAAGAGAAATGCACAAATGCACCGTTGAAGGATGCAACATGATGTTTAGTTCGAGACGTTCTAGAAATCGCCACAGTGCAAATCCCAACCCGAAACTTCATTCTCCTCATTTGAGAAGGAAAATTTCTCCTCACGACGGTCGAAGTTCGCAGTCTCATCCCATACTTATCCCACCACACGGAGCCCTTTCACTTCCCGCAGGAGGACTTAATCCTCTCTCGTTCGGAGCTTTTCCTTTACTCACTTCTCCACCAGAACTCAGGCATCAAACTTCCGCCTTAGATTTAAAACAAAGTTTAGATTTGTCATTAAACAAATACGAAGACCGCCGAGGTGATTACGGCGGCAACACGAATCAATCACCAGATCACGGGGTTTGTGGTAATTCGAATAATCAATACGACGACATGGATGACGAGGAAGATTACGAGGGAATAGTAGTCGTGGGAGACGACGAACAAGACCAAGAAGGTGACGATCAAAATGATAAGAATACCGACGAGGAAGTTGCACCTAAAAAAATTAAAATGAACGTGATGGATATAGACGACGTCGCCAGTAATATAGACAGCAACGAGGATTCGTTGAGTGTTGTAGATAATCAAAGTGTGAAAGAAGAAACGGCCGTCGAAGGAGGCGGCAATACCAATGAAATTAACAAACCCAGAAGAGGCAGAAAGCGAAAAAATCAAAATCCTACGCGCTGTGCTATACCAGTAAGAACTTCTCACGACGATGGAATGTCTACAGACGGAGAAGGATCTCACGAGCCGGATAATATATTTTGTACAAAAAAAGAAAGCAACTTACCAAAAACAGAAGCAGAAGATGCAAACGTTAAGTCTGATGAAAAACCCGTTGTTGAAACCTCGCAAAAAAATGAAGTGAGCGAGAACGAGGGATGCAAAAAGGAAAAAGAAAATTCAATTTCACAAGATCGTACATCATCTGAAGATACGGCGGCGGTGGTAGCGGCGGTGGCAGCGGCCGCGGCGGCGAAAGAAGAAAAAGAAAAATCTTCTACGACTAGCCCTACCGGTGATCACGGAAACGTTTCTAATCCTCTTAGGCATTTGGAAAGCTTATCTCAAGGGCGTTTTGGTGATGGGAACGGAACGGATGGGGAAACCCGATTTCCAGGAATATCTTTTACGGGTGGGGGTCAACTTAGTCCAGCCAAATCTCATTCGTCAACCTTATCTAATGGTCCAGATTCTCCCGGAGACGAAAATAACGAAGGTATTTTTTCTCTAGACGATGGTTTTTTAGGTTTAGATGTTCCCTTAGATAAAAATAATCCCCGTAAATGTACCGCTTGCGGAAAATTATTTCAGAATCATTTCGGTGTAAAAACTCATTACCAAAATGTCCATTTGAAACTAATGCATGAATGTTCTATTAAAGGGTGCAACGCGGCATTTCCATCGAAACGAAGCAGAGACCGTCACAGTGCAAATTTAAATCTCCACCGGAAGCTATTATCAACAACGTCTGACAAAATTACCAACATATGGGATAAAGGGCATTTTCCGACGAATGCTCCATTTCACAGCGATTTCCTATCGCGACTCTATTCCGAACCTACGTCACTTCCTTTAAATTACGACACGTTTAAAAATCACACCCAACTATTGACGGATGATCTCCTCAACGGCGAACGAATGCTTGCCTCAAGTCATTTGCCATTTCCATCGTTGGGTTTTCCTAATTTAAACTTTCCCGGACACCCATTCATTCCCAACGGTTTGGACAGGAAAGAACAACAACACAGATCAAGATCCACATCGCCGGCATCTCCTCCGAGCGCATCATCTCCGGCTTTAAGCGTAGAATTTGACGTACCCACACCGGATAAGGACGGCCTTCTTCCCTGTAAATATTGTAGGCAACCATTTTCTGACGGGGGATCACTTAAAGAACATTACGAACAAACCCACGCTTCCGATTTGTTTAAATGCAAAATATCCGGATGTCCAAAAGTGTTTATATCGCGAACCGTGAGAAATGCACATTACGAAAGGCATTTGGAAGCCGGTGCTCAAAGGAGAGGAAGCGCTTCATCAAACGAATACGGTTCGTGACATAATGGCAGCAGCAGCAGCACCGCATCTGCTGGTTTGCCGCCGCCATCAATTTATTCGGTTCCTCCAATTTGGTGGTAATTTTTTTTTTTAGTATAAAAATAAAAAAAAAAACCCCCATCGCATCTCGACTACCTGTAAGATATTGTTTAAAAAATTATTATTATTAATTATAGGACGAACGTTTTAAACGGATAATTTTGATTCAAAAAAAAAAAAAAAAACAATGTAAATATTTAAATAACGGAAATCATTTGAGTAGCAGCTGGTCCGCGCTCAACAGAGCTTAGGAAAAAAAAAAAAAAGAAAAGCTTTTTCCTTCTTTTTCTAAAAGATTTAAAAATTTTCCTTTCTTTCGATGGTAATTAAAAAAAAAAAAAATGTTACGCCGGCCTCAAACTCAAATTAAACGTTTTAAACTATATTATTATTATTATTATTATTATTATTATTATTATTATTATTATTATTATTATTATTAATTTATATTGATACTGTGATAGGTTGTATTATTATTTTTATTTTTATTTTTTTTTTACAAACCGCAAGAAAATTTAATCGCAAATTTTTATTTTTTATTTTTTTAAATATATTTCCCTCTCCTTCTATTTAATTCGTTATTATTATTATTATTATTATTATTATTATTATTATTATTATTTTGTTTTAAATAAATGTATATCAGTGGTAAAAATTAGGTGCAATATATAATAATAATAATAATAATAATAATTAAAAAAAAAAAACATTTTTTTCTGTGTAATTTTTTTCTTCAAGTGTGAATGAATGAGAATGATTGTTCGCTACGTAAAAGAATTCAAAATAATGAATAATAATGATAATGATAATGATAATTTTTTGTATATATACTGTGTTTCATATATAAATATATAAATATTTCTATTAAAATAATAATGATAATAATAATAAAAAAACGAAAAAAATGAAAAAAAAAAAAAAAAAAAATAGACTCAGCCGCTTAAATTTTACGTAATTATATTATTATAAATATTATAAATAAATAAATTAATAATAATAATAATAATAATAATATTAATTAATTAATTAATTAATTAATTTCCATTTTTACGAGGAAATTTGTGTATAATAGAACATAATAAATACATATAAAATTTAAAAAAAAAAAATTTTATTATTATTTTTTTTTTAAAAAAACCTGAATTATTACCTCTAATAAAATTTATTATTATTATTATTTTTTTTACCTCGATCGACGACCGCCGCCGCCATATTCGAACAAAAAAAAACTATTATTATTATTATTTTCTTTTAATTAAGAAAAAAAAAAAGGTAAGCATAACGATTTGATGGGTTTTAAATATATTTTTAAAAAAAATTTTTTTTTCAGGAAACGGAAACGGTAAAAAAATAATAATTTTTTTAAAAATAAAATGTGAATTTTTTTTGTGTTTCTCTTTCCCCCCACGTCCCCCAGCGCCCCCTGGTTCCCTCCCTACTCTTTCTCTTTCTCTCTGCTTTTTTTGCGATTCGAATAACAAGAAAATTGCAGAAGAAGAAAAGGAAGGATACCATCTTGCATTTAGAGTGCAGTTGTTGTTTTACCCTCTTCTTCCAACTCACGCCCCCCTCGGTCCCCTTCCCCTCTCCTCCTCCTCCTCCCCATCGTACCATCATCTTAATTTTAAAGACATTAAAAAAGATTTAATACCATTAATTTTTCAGTAGTTTAAAAGTTAAAAAAAAAAGGAAGAAGAAGAAAGAATTTATACTAAAAGTTATAATTACCCAAGACGACGAGAAAAAAGGTTTTCGCTTTTTTTTTCTTTTGGAAGTATTCGTACCTGAACTGTCACGAAGAAAACTTGATTATAGTTTAAGAGTCTTGAAACGGTTGACCTCCGGGTCAAAACAAGCAGATTCTTTTCCTGAGATTTAAAAAAAAGAAAGACGGTTGGTTGACTTTTTTTTTTTTTTTTTGAAAAATAATTGGTTAATTGCGCATCTTTTTCTCCCGGAGGTTTTTAGAGCCCCCCCTCCCTCCCCTTTTTAAATTTTTGGTGACTTAAAAATACACATAATTTTTATTTTTCTCTTTTCCCTCCTTACTACTCTTCCCATCATTCTCTCTCTCTCTATATATTTTATTTTGACATCTTAAACGTTTTATAATAATAATAATAATAATTTTCCTTTGCAATTTTAACGGTTTAAAATAATTCGAAAGTTTTTTTTACCGAATAGTAGTGATGGTGGTGGTAGAATTAATTAAAAATTTACTTTGTTAAATTTTTAAATTAAAAAATAATAATAATAATAATAATGTTATACGAGCAATCGAAGATAATAATAATGATAATAATAATGGTATGCATAATAGGTGTGCGAGACAAAGTTAAAAAAAAAAAAAAAATTTTTTTATCATCACGCAACGTGTTTTTGTTTTTTATATTAACAATTGTGAAAATTGCCCCCTAATTTTAGATAAAAATTTAAGGGTCGCCTTATTTTAATATTAAAATAATAATAATGATGATGATGATGATGATAAAAAATCGAAATTTGGTTTTAGGGCCTTAATGTTTAAATAATGTGTAAAAAAAACAACCGAATTTTTTTTCATATAAATAACCGCCCTTTTTTTTTTTTTTGTTTTTAAAAATTAAATAACCAGACCCCCTCGATGAAAAAAAAAAAAAATCCCTTAACCTTTTGTTTTTAATAAATAATAATAATAATAATAATTTTACGAAAGGAAGAAAAAATTCAAAATGGGGATGGAAAAGTAATGAATTGGATTTTTTAAAAAAAACAATGCAAAATAATAATGAAAAATCATTTTGTTAAAAATCATTTTTTTAAATAATTGTAAAAAAAAAAAAAAAAAAAAAAAAACATTGAGAATAATTACAAGGCACGAAAAATCTCGAATGTTCGATCGAAAACGATTTTTTTTTTTTTTTTTTTCGAAAAAAAAAGTGGCCGCAAAGTCATTTCAATATGGCGACTCGTGAGAATTTTAATAGTTTTCATGGTTTGATTGCTCGTGTTTTTCTTCTTTATCCTCTTAGAAAAAGAAACGAATCGTGGTGGTGATGATGATGATGGTGATGGTGATGGTGGTGGTGGTGGTGGTGGTAGAATTCATTATAAATCGTTCGTACCTTTATATACCTACCTACCTACCTACCTAACGTACCATCTCGTGTTTTTTTCGCCATATAAAAAAGCAATTTAAACTTTGATAAAATTATAACTGAATCGTCTTTAATTAATTAAATGGTTTTTAGATATTGATATGAATACCTGGAAGGTAAATTACAGGTTTATGGTATAATAAAAGAAAAAAAAAAGGTATCTAAAAATAAATAATAATAATAATATACATATATATAAAATAAATATGGTTTCGTTGTGACAATGTAAACTCTGATAAGAAATAATTTATATCGATTGATTATTTCATATATAATTTTTGTTTGTTGGGGAGGCGGGGGGGGGCTGAATGACAATTTTTTTTTTTTGTTAGTAGTTGAAACCCAGTTATTAGATTTATGAGAAAGAAAGACGTGGATCTTAAAATGATAAACACACGAAAAAAAAAAAAACCCAAGAGCATAAACCACGCCCATCAAGTTGATGTTAATGGGCAGTCAAGTTACACGAAAAAAGACAATCAAAAGCGAGTTTTCTCTCTCTCTTCTGCCACGAAATGTCCAGCTCAGAAGATATGGAATGTTGTTTTTAAACGTGACCACTAAAGTCCTCCCCCCCAAGATAATAATAATAATTGCTATGTATATACTCGGATTGTGTGTGTTCACACTCGTATTTCTACATTGTCTCCCAAGATAAAAATAAAAAAAAAAATTCTTCTCATCATTTTCAATATGGTTCTTGTTCCTTATAAACCTGATCGTACGATTTTTTTTTTTTTTTTCCTTTCGAAAACTAGTCTGACGAGTCCGGATACGTGAGAATCGAAAAAAAAAAAAAAAAACACAAAACGAGTAACTGAGAGTAATTAAATAAAAAGCAAGAAGAAGGTACGAGAAGAAAACGTTATTGATGATGAACCGAGTTTTTACCCGACAGCAACAGCACCACCACGCCAACTTATTAACAATAAATTTTTCTTTGTATACAATATCAATAAAATGAATTGATGATTAAAGACACGTTAAAATAAAATACGTGGCATTAGTCAATGAGAAAAGGAGAAAATAATATTTTTAACTAAAGGGTGGAGTTTAAAATTGTCACCAGATTTTGTCGCCCCTGCGTTTTTATACACCTGTGTGTTTTCGCCGTCGCAGGAAAAAAAAAGGTGGAGCAGAAAAGGAAAATTTTTTCTCTATCTCTCTCTCTCTATGTGACAAACAATATTATCCTTTTTTTTTTTAAACTTGAAATTTTTGTTGTTGTTGTTGTTATGCGCATGTTTCAAAAAAAAAATTTTTTTTTTTCGTGTTACTCTCTCCATTTATCGATTTTTTTTCCCCCAATTTCGACAGGATTAAGGTACGTGAATAAAAAATAAAAACAAATTTTCTTATGTTTTCCGGTTCCGGGAATTTAGATTGACAAGTTAATTTGTTTAGATATTGTGATAACTAGAAAACCTGTTGTTTCGTGATTTCCGTTTTATTGAGAATTCAAACTTGGGTGAATTCACCGAACCCAACGACTTTTTTTGTCTTCTTCTTCTTCTTCTTCTGACACGAACGAATTAGGTTCGTTTTTTATATCTGATTAAAATTCGTTTTTTATTGGTCTTATAAGGTTGAATATCTTTTGTGGCACGTTTATTCACCTGAAGATAATAATAATAATAATAATAATAATAATAATAATAATAATAATAATAATAATAATAATAATAATAATAATAATAATAATAATAAAAACTCAGGGTAATCAAATCGGTGTACCAAGAAAAAAAAAAAATTGTAGGTAGTAACAATAACAACAACAACAACAACAACCGAATAAATTGTTTCTCCGTACGTAGTATAATTCAC